TTCCCACCTGCATTCTATCGCAGCAAGGTAACAAGAAACAAAGGATAGGAGTATGGGAAAGCTGAAAGAAGACCTTAGCTATAAAAAAGTGAAGACCTCCGCCTTCCACAGATTCGGCCTTTTGGATCTCCTTTTCCTCCTGGAGAAGTCTTTTCTGCTGTCCTTTAATAAAACTTTTACTTTCCACTCTTCACTGCCTCGGAGTGCTTCTCTGGTGTTACACTTCAGCATCACCGGTAAACAGCAGTAACACCATGAGCTGGAATCCAGCCTGAACAACTTAGTGAGACTCTGTCTCTAAATAACGTTTAAAGGAAGTCCATCCTTTCACAGATTATCTCGAATATTAGCGACTCAAATTCACAGATAATTGCCCAAACTCAACAAAATGAAAAGAAAAAAAAATCACTTACGAGTGGCACCTCTTCATACCGCTGGGGCCTGGGGATGTGTTCAGTGGTGGAGTGCCTACTCAGCACACAGCAGCCCTGGAGTCAATCCTAAGCACCCTGATGTAATGCAGGGCTGGGCACGGAGCTCAGGGAAGAGGTCTTGCTCTACACAGGACCTGGGTTCAATGCCCAGCACCAAAAGAGAAAAAAAGTGTGCAGAAACGATGATTTGGGACACATTAAAAGTGCATCCAGCATCTTTGGTACTTTCTTCTGTCAGATGAAAGCATCATAATGGAAAACTCTACACAAAGAAACGTGAACCACCTCGCTGCTCCGTTCACTGGGTGGCAATAAGAAGGCAGTGCTGAAGGAAGGCACACAGAATTGCTCTGAGGGCCCTTCTGCTTCACTCCAAATGGGCACTGCTTTGGTTAGGAAAGACAAGTGGCCAACATTATTAAGGCATGGCTACCTTTGCTCCATTTGTCTTCCAAAATATTGGGTAAAGCTTTTCAAAAGCATATGTACAAGCCAGGAGTGGTGATACACACCTATAATCCCATTGGCTTAGGAGGCTGAGGCAGGAAGATTGCAAGTTTGAGGCTAGCCTCAGCAACTTAGTGAGATTGTAAGCAACTTAGCAAGATCCTGTAAAAAAAAAAATCCTGGGGATGTGCTCAGTTGTTAAGCATCCCTGATTCACCCACTGGTGCAAAACAAACAAAAGCAGGGGGGCGGGGGATGCGAATCAGTAGTGGGGCGCTGGCCTAGCAAGTGTGAGGCACCACATAAAAATAAATCAAGTTATTATGTCCATCTACATTTAAAAAGATTATTTTAAAATAAAATATGTATGTACAGGAATGTTAAATGGATTCTACTTTCCTCTCTAAATGCTTATCTAAGAACTAAACTAGCAAAGACAGAGTTATAGGGATTGGTTTAACCTATCTAAAATGTCATTTAAAATACCAAACAAAACATATGGAGTGTTGGTGTTCAGGACATTGTGCATAGGACAGACAGTAAAACAGGCAGGCAGCACAATCACCGTACAGGCCACCCCGTGAGATTAACCATGGGTCCTCTCATGGCGGAAAGGGTAGAGCAGGTGCGACCTGAGTGAAGGCTACAGACTCAAGGACAAAGAGGGCATGACCAGTTAGGAAGTCCCAGACTGATCCGAGAGCTCCCCCACATCCAGCATGTTCAGATGAGATGTAGACAGCAGCCATGGCACTCTCCTAACACCTATTTAGCACAGACTGGCAGGTGACCTGACCTCGTAGTGTATTAACTCCTAGACTAGCACACCTGGATGACAATCTACCCTTAGGTCCCCTCTCACCTGGCAAGAATTGTTTTTCTTCTCACTTAAATCCTCTTTTAACTCTTGCCTCCCATTGTCTGTGGGTTTCATTCTTTGGATTCACAAGAACCTGGAAAGAAATCACTGGTGGGGCTGGGTCTGCTGCAATGCCAAGAGGGCATCTTCCTGCCACCAAGGGCTGCGACACTGCACTGCTTCAGAGTACGGTCCTGCTGGCTGAGGGCACCCTGCAGCACAGACTGCCACTGCTGCAGAGGACGCCCGCCAGCAACTGCAGCAGCAGAGGTTCAGAATCCAGTTTGAAATGGACATCACGCAAGGGAAGACTGACCCCTGAGAAATGGGAACACAAGACAAGTACTAGGATGTCCCCAGACAACTGCATTGCTTCCAGACATCTCGTACTAACAGGATGGAAGTCAAAGATCAGAAAACTTAAGGAGCTGTTTCTATGAGAATGTCAATGAACCCAATGAACTTTCATTCAGACTGACCAAGAAAAAAAGGGAGAAAATATGCTACCGATAGATGGAGCAGCAGAGGTGACATGACAAATTCTAGCCATAACAGGAATGGCAAAATATGTGTACACACACACACACAGACACACAAATACATATATAGACACAAACTCACATACACACACACACATAATGGCCTTTCCAGAAATAAATTTCATAACAGATAAAATGGGAGAACTTTTGGAAAGAATCAAACTACTAAAGGTTACTCATGATAATCAGAACAGTTCAGACTATTAAAGAGATGGAATTTGTAATTTATGCCTAGCATTCTTCATGTTATTATTGCTTATGTTACAAAAAACACATTTTGTAATAATTTTCTATCATTTACTAAATGTTTAATGATATCTTGGAAATATTTAGTGAGCACTTAAAAAAGAATGTGTTCTGCATGTACTATGTGGGATTTTCTTAATAAATATTTTTTAGTTGTCTATGGATATTTATTTATGTATTTATATGCGGTACTGAGAATCAAACCCAGAGCCTCATGCATGCTAGGCAAGAGCTCTACCATTGAGCCCAGCCCCAAAGTGGACTACATCAGATTTTCCCAGCAGTTTGAATATAATTTGCCTTGGTGTCTGTGCTTTTGGTACTTGTTTCTTGGTGCTCTCTGAGCTTCACATTGGCATTCTGGGATCATTAACTTTGGAAACTTCCTAGCCTCATTTCTGGAGTTTCTCCTGACCCATATTCCATATGCCTTCTGGAATTTCAATTATTTTGTTGGACTAAAAGATATTTCCCGGCAGCTGTTGGGTGCTTTTTATATATACATATATATGTATATGGAGACATATACATATATTTCTTACTTTCGGGTTTATTCATTCTTTATCAGAGTTTCAATTATATTGATGAACTTGCTGAAGACACTGTCATCTATTATTTTCACTCTTTGCATTTCCATTTGATTATCTCTCAGCTTCAATTGCCCATCTATATCTGCCCATTGTGCACTTTTTCTGCTAGAACATTTAACACGTCACTGTTACTTCAATTCCATCAGTACTTCTAAGGATGGCCTCCTGTCCTGACGGGGAGGTGTATTTCCTTGCATTTTTTGTGCCCTGTACTGTTTTTTCTGGAAGTCCTGTATCTTGAGTAGGGCAATAGAAAAAGGTTCTGTTAAGCCTTCCGTGTTGGGCAAGGCTTCAGGTTGGCTGTGGCTAGTTACCTGAAGTTCACCACTCGTGACTCTTAGTTTGGGGTGAGGGCTAGTTCCCAAGTGTTTACCTCAGCATCCAGGTCCTCTTCAGGTTAAGGCATGCTCAGAGACAGTCCAGTTCTACTAGAATATTTTCAGTGAAATATTTCATTAAGTGCTTACCACTCACCTGTGGGGTACTAAGTGATGGAGTTTGCAGCATCCCCCACACTCCACTTCTCCTGCATTATTTATGCATGTATACTTTTCTCCTGGCCTCCCACCTTGTTCCTCCTTTAATACCATCACCATCTCTAGAAGCAGTCTGCCTACCTGCCACCCGCACCGTGGAGACCATCACCCTCTGCCTGACACCTTGCACACACTTCCCTTTTCTCACATCCTGTATTCTCTGGTCATCAGCAGGTGCCTGTGGGCAGGAACAATGTCTAGCCAGCTCGTACATCCCTGGATTTAGGAGTAATTGTTTCCAGGACAGCGACACACAAATGTGCAGACATGATGTCACTGAAGGATTACGGAAAGTCCATAGGCACCGCTTAAAAGCAAAATACTGGGCTGGGGTTGCAGCTCAGTGACAGAGCGCTTGCCTCACACGTGTGGGCCACTGGGTTCAATCCTCAGCACCACATAAAAATAAAATATAGGAACTGTGTCCATCTACAACCACAATAATATTTTTAAAAAACAAAAAGAAAAATACTGTCAAAATCGCCTCTTCTATACCAGGCAAGTGAATAAAACACATTTTATCAGGATTTTAAGTTTTAGGGATTAAAGCAAACGAATATTGATTTTCTTGAGGTTGAATGTACTTCTAAAACTTATGTCTATTACTAAAAAATTAAATAATGAAGGTTTTGATCCTTTAGAAAATAACTGAGTTGCTAGTAGTTGGGAGCACAGGTAGGTAAGCCTTAAGTCACACTGCCTATGTGGCGCCCTCAGAAATGTGAGAATAGGCCTAACAAGATCAAGTGAGGATTTCTGATGGGGTCAGCAATAAGGCAGCTACAATAAGCAGTTCTCATAACCCATCCCAAGTCGGCTTCTGAGTGAATGAACTGCCATCCCGATGCACTCTTGCAGTTTCCAAGAAGGGCAAGAAGGCCAACAGGCAGTGAGACTGAAGGGAGTGGGTGACTGGGGCAGGTCATCCTCTCGCTCCTCCCCACTCTAGGTACACCACCCTCCATCGGGAACCACTCATATGGCAGCCTGGGAGAAAGAGCAAGGTGGAGAGGAGGGACACGTGTGCAGAAGCAGGAGGAGAAAAGATGCTTCCTGTTGCCTCCCCCAGGCCCTTACTCACCCATTTACTCCAAGTGGAGATTTATTTTTAATGCTTACTTTTCATATCTGAACGGTCGAATTTAAACGGGAAACTTAGTTGGTCATGCTGCATGCATGTTCACTCCTCACAATTCTGGTTGTTGTTCTCACTTGTCAAAGTCAAAATAACCTAACCCATGTGATCCCACATTCCACAAAGTTGTATTAACAAGATACAAGTATTCATAAAAGTAGTTTTTTTTTTTTTTGCAGAAGGAAAACACGAACAGAAAAGCCTGACTATATAATTAATCACAAAACAGAACTCTGACTTTATTTCTGACATGTTTTACACACACTGGAAACAGGTGAAATGAAAAGAGCTCAGTATATATACCTAGAGGCTCCCCAGTGTCTTGGTCCACTTGAGCTGACATCATAAAATACCACAGACTGGGACTTAAACAACAGAATTAATTTCTCAGTTCCAGAGGCTGGAAATCTGAGATCAGAATGTCCACCAGGTCAGTTCCAGGGAGGGCTGTCTCCTTGGGGGCAGACATCTGCCTTGCTATGTTCTTGCATGGTGCAGAGAGTATGCTCTCTGGTGTCTCTTCTTCTAAGGGCAATGACCCATCACGAAGCCTTGCCCTCATGTAATGCTAAATACTTCTCAGATGCCCCATTTCCAAATACCCCACATTGAGGGCGAGGGCTTCAGCATGTAATTTTGGGGTGACACACACATTTAATCTGCAACACATTTCACAAGTCACTTATTACACATCGGTATTACATGAAAATACCAATATATAGTCATATAAATATAAACAATTTATTTTCAAATATAAATTTTCTCCCTGCTCTGAAGTTCCTCATTTTGTCACCGCCTCATGGTTCTTCCCCATTAGCCTGTCTTGAACACATTCAATTTTCACACCACGTCTTCAAATCCATGAAGACAGTATGGTGAACACTGCTGCTACACACCATTATAGGTGCTGTCTTTATCCCCCTAAAGACTGTCAGGTGAAAGCAGCATCCTATTTTGCCAGGAACTCCCTTTTATGGGACAGTTTTGGTTCTGAGGAACCAACTCAAACTCATGTGAACTCAAATCAGGCTCAACGCCCCATCTACAAAACCAGACTTCACAATTCCATTGTGTGGCATGTGGCCAGTGAAGTCTCTTCAAAACTACACTAGGAAATAAAACATCAAAGAAAAATAGCCTTCATCCTCAAAAGACTTATCTTTCTCCTGAGCTTGCCTCAGTTGGTTTCAAATCCAGAGGTCAAAAGTCACCAGTGACTTTTGTTCTTTGGCTTTCAAAGTGGGATATACATCATCACATCACCCCATATATACAGAATTTATATTAGAGACAGGTATAGACAGACCTCAATATACAAAGGCTTAACCTGTGAGTTTTGGCTTTATGATGGTGCAGAAGCAATATGTTCTGTAGAAACTATACTTCAGGATGTGATCTTTTCCTAGGCTAGCAGCAGGCAGTATGATGCTCTTTCATGGTGCTGGGCGGCAGTAGTGGGCACAGCTCCCTGTCAGCCGTGCAATGATGAATGCTCGGTACTCTGCACTGGGCTGTGTTGCAAAGCTCTGATGTTTGGTACTTCAAGTGTGTTATTCACTATATTTTCAACCTTGGGGAGTTTCTCAGGACACAACCCCACCCCCTAAGGAAGATCTGTACATTTCCCCCATGCCTGTGACTGCTTCTCTGATAACCTCATCCTTAGCTTTCACAGATTTAAAACATTAGGCCTTTTCTTCAGAATGAGTGTTTTGATGTCGAATCAGGGACGAGCTCCGACTATACGCCTTCCCACACTTGCTACATTCATAGGGTTTCTCCGAAGAATGACTTCTCTGATGTCGAATGAGGTCTGAGCCACTGCTAAACGCCTTCCCACACTCATTGCACTCGTAGGGTTTCTCTCCTGTATGACTTCTTTCATGGAGGATGAGGGAGGTGCGCTGACTGAAGGCCTTCCCACATGTCTTGCAGGTGTACGGCTTCTCTCCAGTGTGGATTCTCTCGTGCTGGGCAAGATGTGCACTCTGGCTGAAGGCCTTCCCACACTGGTCACATTCATAAGGTCTGTCTTCAGTATGAATCCTCTTGTGTCGAGTTAGGGATATTCGGTGGCTGAACGCTTTCCCACATTCCTCACACTGATAGGGCTTTTCTCCAGTATGAATCCTCTGATGTTCAATAAGGAATGACTGGCGACCAAAAACTTTACTACATTTATTGCACTTGAAAGGTTTCTCTTCAGAATGAATGTTCTGATGTATTTTAAGGTTTGCAGTTCCAGAAAACATCTTTCCACATTCCTTACACTCAAAGAGCTTCTTTTTCCGTTTATGAATTTTCTGATGTTGAATGAGGGATGAATGCCGATTACAGACCTTCTCACATTTATTGCATCTGTACAGCTTCTTTCCACTGTGAACCCTTCGATGCAGAATAAGGGTTGAAAGGCGCCTAAAGTCCTTCTCACATTTGTCACATTTATAGGGTTTACCTGAAGCATGAATTTTATGATGAAGCAGAAGGGGTGAAATCCTACTAAAGGATTTCCCACATTTTCCACATTTAAAGGCATTCTCTAAATGGTGACTTCTCTGCATCACACTCTGACTTAAGGCCTTCACACTTTTATGAGGTTTCTCTCCAATATGAATTTTTTCATGTGTAACAAGGGCTGGTTTCTTTTTGAAGCCTCTCCCACATCTATTGCATTTATGTATTTTCTTTGTACTGTGAATTCTCTTATGAACTAAAAGGGATGACTTCCGACTAAAGACTTTCCTACATTTTCTGCACTGGTAGACTCTCTCAACAATTTGGATGTTGTGATGTACACTGAGAGATGGGCATGAACTCAAACCCTTCCCACAATTAGACATTTCCTTTCCATTATGAATTTTTCTATGTAGAATAAAGGCTATTTTGTTATTGAAACTTTCCCCACATTTATCACACTCATGGCTTTTCTTCCCATTGTGAACTCTCTGATGAAGAATGAGAGATGAGATCTGTCTGAAAGCTTTTCTACAATTACCACATTCATAAGGTCTCTCTCCAGTATGTGAGTTCTGATGCAGTTTAAGAGAGATGCTTTGACTAAAGGTTTTAGCACAGTAATCACATTTTAAGGCTTTCTTCCCTGAATTACCTTTCTTGGGTTTGCTTAGAAATGAACTTTTCCTGTAGCCCCTGCTCCCTGTTGGAACCTTTTGTTTTGTAGAAACTGGTTTCTGACAGCTGCTTTGCCCAGATTTGTTGCACTGATTTGGTGGTAATTTCTTCACCTCACACTTAGACCTGGAGTCTGAAAGATACCAAAAAATTGACTGGTTGTTTTCCTGTGCTTGAAAAATCAATCTTCTACAATATGCATGCAATCATTATCATTACTGATCAGAATAACTATGAAAAACAGAACAATAACTTTTTAGTGTCTTCTTGGGGTTTGAATTATCATATGAAAGATTTTAATGAAATATTTAATATTTAAGGAGAGTTTGTGATGAGAAAGTAAATAAATCAAAGTTTTACTTCGAGGATAAATTTGTACCACATACTACATTCAACCCCATAGGTGTCACTGGACAAATAAATGTAGTTTTGTTTTATGAAATGTCTATAAAAGGCAAATCTGCAGAGACAAGACCATTAGTTGTCTGGGTCTGGAGATGTCAATCAGGATTATCTGTAACTTGGCAAAAGGGATCTTAGTAGGGTGATGAAAATGTTCTGAATCAGAATTGTGGAGATGGTTACACAACGTGGAAAATACATTTTTTAAAAAGTCACTGAATTATGTTCTTTAAAATGATTGAATCTTATATTATAAATTATACATTTGTAAAATTATAAATCCCTCAAAATGCAGAAATCAAATATTTAAAGACTGCAAACCTAGTAGCAATTAGAATTCAGTATTTAGATTTTACAAGAGTGAAAACTTTAAACTCAGAGAAGTAGGAAAAAAGGTAAAAGATTAGACTAAATAAAAATGAACCTCTTATCTGGCAAAATAGATGAAATGGAGTAGGACACAAAAGTCCAGATAATTTAAAATGACTGTACAGCAGACTGACTATAAACCTGAAATTATAGGGAACAATAAACACCACACAGGTTCAGAGCTGTCCAATATAGCACCCACAAGGCATATGGGTCTACTGAGCTCCACAACACATGGCTGGTCTGATGTGGGACATGCTGTGTGAAATACACTCCAGATTGTGAAGATGTAGTACAAAAAAAGGGCAGTAAAATATCTCACTGTAAAAATAGTGATCATACATTGCAGTATTTTAAATACACTGGGTTAACAAAATAATTTTGCCTGTTTTTAAAGTTATTTTAATGTAGGTAGTAGAAAAACTCTGATTAACTGTGTGGCTTGTGTTCTATTCCTATAACAGTCATGTGTTAAATGGAGCTTGAACTTACTGAAGAGTGTCGTTTAACTACATCACTGTGAGAAACTCTACATCTATTACAGTTATACTCTTTCAAGTGTGTACACTTACCCACCTCACAGGTCTCCCGCTGGTCAGGAGGAGACGGGGGCTAAAAGCCCCGACAACAATCTCCTAAAAGCGTTCTAGAGAAGAATTCTGTGGACCTGTGGCTATTTGATATCTGTAGTAACTACCATTGTAGTTCCCATTAGGAGATGTACCTTAAAATAATCATGCCAATGGGGAATCAAGAAAGGGAGGCTAGGGAAACCTTCACAGCAAGGCCGGGGCCTCAGCCAAGGGGAACCCAGGTCTCACCCTCGAGTCTGTCCTGCCCCACACCCTGCTGTCTTCCTCTCCTTCTCTGCACATCCCTCATTCAAGACCTCACTTTTTTTGTGTGGACACAAACATCACCTCAGCTCATCTCTCTGCTGTGTATCTAGAAGTCCCTTAAACCATAGCACATACCAGAATTCACCCCAGTACATTAGGTCAATGTGAGCATATAAACCTGGGAGTGAACACGTACATGTGGAGGAGAGTGACCATGCTGCAGCCCCATCTACCAACGCATGGCTTTCCCACCTGCTGCCATCTTGGGACACTGCAGCTACCTGCGCAACCCCTCCAAGATGTTAGCCTCCACCTTGGGACAATGGACAGGGCCTGGAGGTAGCAGCCTGATGCAGCACTACACATCACAGCGCTGCTGGCCAATGCAGGAACTACCCTCTCAGCCCCATCTCTGAAAGCAATCACCTCACTTCTGGGACACCTCCACTGCCACCACCATCATCTTTAGTCAGGGAAGCTTCCATCTTAGGACAATGGCTAGGGGCCTGGAAGACTTGACACTGCCGCTGCCACCAACGAGGGACATGCTCGATACAATCTAAAAACAACAGCCAGCATCTGGAAGACCATCACCAAGGTCCCTGCAGGCTTGGTTCACCAGAGGCACCCTGCTAGCCTGCTTCTCTTGATCCTCCTTCACTCTTGTTGTGAGCTAACACCTCTCTATTCTCACCTCCCACCCGCCCCTGCTCTCTACCATCAGAAACTGCAGACCCTGACACAAACCTACTATTTCATTATAGGTATTAATCAAATTCACCGCTTCTGTTTATTGTGAAAAAACTATAACTGTCTAAATAGAACCTATATGGTTTAAGGATGCATATTGTTCACCTTGAGTGCTCTAAATATTGATCTCCCTCTTAAAGATGAGGTATTGGTAACCTGCAGGACACTACAAAATTACAGAAGCATCACCAACAGACTAGATCATTTGGAAGACAGAACCTCACACAATGAAGACAAATGTATAATCTTTAAAAAGTTGACCTCACAGTGAAGATGGTAAGAATCCATGAACAGAACCTCCAAAAATTATGGGATAACCTGAAATACCAAATCTAGGAATTATCAGGATAGAGGAAGGCACACAGCTTCAATCCTAGGTGCACAGGCAGCTCAGAGAGCCACAGCATGGGTTAAGGCCCTGCATCCGTTCTACCAGTACTTGACTCAGGAAAAATGGACGAGAAAGACTACTGAACAGACACTGACCACCCATGCTGGTCAAATATTTCGACCATTTGGGTGGAGGTCACTTTGGTCTACAACTAAGACATTGGATATTTTTCTTTTTTTAAAATACACATGTATTTTTTTAAATTATTTTTTTCTTATTCCTCCCATGTGTGAATTTGTGTGTATGTCTATGAGCGTGTGAATTCTGCTGTCCTCTTTCAGGGACAGATAGATCACCGTTATTTGTCATGTTTTCTCTCATATTCAGCATTTTAAAAATGTAATTGTCTTTTTCTAGCTTTGTCTTATGAGGGTTCTGTAGTAAGCAGTGTTACTTATTAGCACATTAGAGAAGACTTCACAAGATATAAGAGATTAGACTGAATATTTCACTTTGATTTTATATCTTTATCTTTTGCTACTCACCAAATTCTAATATTCTCTCTCCCAATACAGGCTTTGATTTTCTCCACTCCCACTACATAATATCACCTGCTATGCTATTCTGAATTTTCTCTGTTCATTTTCTGAAATTGTGAAGTCTTCTCTAATGTGCTAACACATTTCGTTTCCTCCCCAGTTAACTGCATTTCTACATCATTCAGAACTAAATGGTTTATATTCCCCTGCCCCCACCATTAAAGCTAAAACAATCACAGCCACTATGGTGAAATAGCGCACACCTGCTGTTTCCTTTAAAGCTGTGGCTATCGTTCATGGTTATTGTTTTCACTGCTGACAACTGCTGAACCCACCAATCCTGTTCTTTGGTGGCAATTAATGTTTAAGACTCATAATAGGAACTGGGTATTTAACACGGCTTACTATCTGTTGTTTCCAAAAGTTGTCACTATTGTTTATTTTTCTCCCATATTTTGAGGACATTAAAAGTGCACAGGCTGGAGACCCTGCTGCTAAACATTCCCTGACATTACACCAACTCAAGAAATGAAGAGACAAAAGCCCCAAACCAACAATAAAACTCAAGGAGGAACAACCAGAGAGGGAACTCAGGTCTCACCCCTTGGCATCTACTCATACATCAAAAAACAGGAAGAAGTCCCAGAACAAATAAGATAACTACACACAAAAGGACACTCGCAAAAAAAAAAAAAAAAAAAAGAGGTAGAGGAATCCATTTAAATTGATGCACAAAACCAAGACCTCTGAAAACATGAGAAATCAGACAGACAAATGTCCCCCCAAAATCCAACGTCCCCCAACAAAGGATCTCGCTGACAGTGAGGCAGACGAAAACCCGGAGGAAGACTATTAAAAACTAATTATCAAAATGTTCAATGAACTAAAAGAAGATCTAAGGAAGAAATTAAGAGAACAATTACAGGGAAATGTTTAATACAGAAATAGAGATAGTGCAAAGAAACCATGCAGACCTCTCAGAAATTAAACACAAAATCAATCAAATTATAATCTCACTTGAAGGCATCACTAACAGATGGTGTAGAAAACAGAACCTCAGCCCTTGAACATAGAACTTTAGCCACTGAGGACAGGGTATATGATCCTGAGTCCAAAAATAATAAAGGAAAAAAATGAACAGAACATGACCAGAAAACTGGGACAACTTTAAGAGACTGAACCTGAGAATCACTGGGATAGAAAAGAACATGGAGATACAAACCAGAGGCACAGAGAACATTTTCAATGAGATAGTTATAGAAAACTAATCACATATCAGAAACGAGATAGACAACCACAAACAGGAGGCTTACAGGACACCAAATAGACCCAGCCAAATGAGAAGTTTGTGGAGACATATAACCAAAATCCCTAAAATGGAAAACAAGGAAAGAATATTAAAAGCTGCAGAGAGAAATATCAAGTCACATTTAGAGGCAAATCAATAAGGTCCATTTCTGATTTCTCTGCTCATACCCTGAAATAAAGGAGGGCTTGGAATGAGCTGCTCCAAACTCTAAAAGAAAAGACCTGCCAGCCAAGGTTACTATACCCAGCAAAACTCAGTTTCAATTTTAAGGGGGAAATTAAAATATTCCACAATAAGAGTAAACCAAAAGAATTCATGAATACCAAACCAGCACTACAAAGAACATCCAAAGATAAACTTCACACAGAGAAACTAAAAGATAATTTCCAAAGCCCTCAAACAGAGAACAAACAATAGAATAAAAAGCCACTAAGTGAGAATCAAGAATGGCTAAGATACAGCAAAAAAAAATTTTAAATGGCAGGAAACCACAAACACATATCCATACTAACACTGAATGCTAATGGTCTCAACTCCCCAGTGAGAAGACACAGATTAATAGAATGGATTAAAAAAAATCCAATTATATGCTGT